AAAGAAAGAAAGAAAGAAAGAAAGAAAATGAATTCATTACCTGTTATATACTTGAATGCAAAATAAGCCACATTATGTTACAAAACAAGAAAGCTTATAAAATGTAACCAGAAAACTTACAAAGTAAACTTTAAAACCATCAAAATGTGTTCTGACATAAACTACCATGCTATGACAACAACTAATCTTCAAAAAAGACCCTAGATGAATTATGAATTAAACAGTAAAAATCTGAGAAGATGTATATTATCTCCAAGAAACTTGGGAAGAATGCCCACTTCCAAAGGAAAAACATGTCAGTTAGATCTAGCTCTTCTCTTCAAGGAAAGCTGCCATCTCACCTTCAGCTAGTGACGCAAAAGCATTGACGAGCCTGGCCATGTACTGCCGCACCACCTCACTCTTTGAGTGCAGCAATTGAAGCACATTCCTCTGTGGGGAAGAAAATCCAGAGATTAAGAAAAGGGAGAGGTAAACATATGTCTCCTCTCTGGGCCTGGTTGTTCTCTTTCCCAGCCTAAATTCATAAGAGGTGAAATAAACGGACGAAAGCCAAACATTTCATCTACAAGTCTTGATTTTCCCCTGATATTTGATGAGATTTGGAAAAAAGAAATTAGTCAGATTTCTAAACTAAATGAGTTAATTACGCGAAGCACTGAGAACTGTGACTGCCCAGAGGCAGAGTGCTGTGTGTTATTATTGTTGCTACTGTCCCAGGTTAGACACATCTAATTTTGCTCCTTCTAAACCACAGTAAAACTACTGTAAGTGGACATTTTATAAAGACACAAATTTCTAAGAACAGGAGAAACTATACAACACAATTTTGGAAGCCAGAACACAGAACGGTAACATCAGACTTAGCAGGTCCAAGAATGCCAAACCTCAAGGCAGCAATGGCCAATGCAAAATTACCCAGTTTCTATCATTTACTCCTTAAAAGGCTTAAGAATTAGGAAAAAGTGGGGCATGGTGGCTCATGCCTATAATCCTTAGCATTCTAGGAGACCAAGGTGGGAGGTTCACTTGAAGTCAGGGGTTCCAGATCAGCCTGGACAAGAGCAAGAACCCATCTCTACTAAAAATAAAAAAATGAGTGCAGCACCTGTGGCTCAGAGGGGAGAGTGCCAGCCCCATATACC